AAAAAAGAGTGAACCAGATGAACCATTTCAATCAGTCATTGTAGCAAAGAAAAAAATATAATAACTAAATATACTTTTGCTATTTTTCCTGCATTTCTTTTTACAATATCAATATATATAACCATATATAAAGAATATAAAGGTGAGATATTTTTTCTAATGAAAGAGTGCATTTATCATCTTTGTGATAAAATGATTGAAGGAAACAAACTATGGTTATTTATTGAATATTTCAAACAATTGAAATCAAAGCATACATTTCTTGAAATGAAAACATCTTATGAAAAAAGTCACATTTCAGTTTTAATGTAAAAAGGATATTTTCACACTAAAAATATCTAAAAAGCTTATTTTTACACAGCTCTGGTTGCTTAGATGCCTCGGTGTTCGAGTTCTATGTTGCTTCCATGCCGCTGACTGGACGGAGTCACGTGACTACACACGCTGTATGTTTTTAAGGGGAAAGTCAGGGTTGCCAGTTCGGGCTGCAGCCACGGGTTGATTATTAGTCTGATTTTTTATTAAAACAATCGCCCTTAATGTGATTTTGACGGAGGGGACACCCGACAGAGGGGGAAACTCTGGGAAAAAACACGATTGGGCTAGTTTTTATCTAGTTTTGATTAGCAATCAGGCTTGATTTGTTTCATAGACCTGGCAACCCTGGGGAAAGTATTAACAGGATTAAAAAAACGAAATAACCGATGTAGGAAAACTATGTCGGTTAGAGGTTTTGAATTTTGGTTTCGATTACTTTTCGATTAATCATCCAGCCCTAGTACGAGTTTTTCAAGGTGTAAAAACACAAGAAAGATCCGAAACTAGTCTATTATTAACAAAACTGTCAAAAATATAGTGAATATTTAAAATTTGCCCAGCTATAGTTTGATTGTAAGGTCAACATTATCCTCAAGTAGGCCAAACTCAGATTATACAGTAATAAAAAAAACTTTTATTCAAGCAATATTCAGCAGTTTGAGGATTAACACAATTATTCTAATTTCTTGCAGACATGAATCTGCACGTAGAATTAATATAAAAAATTTTCGGTATAATGAGTGCACTTCTTTTGGACTGGGTCATAGTATTAATCACAGCATTGGTCTTGAAAGAAGCATTTACGCATGATGAGCAAGGGACCGCCTAAAGCTAACATCGCTTTCATCTTGCAGGAAGAAGCATTGTGGCACAAGACACTCGAAAACTAAGCTGATAGAGGCTTGGTGGGGTCAACGCCCACCTCTGACTTAACTCATTTATCGCTGTCGCATCAGCTTAAGTGCCCATCCCCCTGAGTGCCATCCAATAGAACAATCATATTGCACACAGGAGGAAAACAAAAATGTGAGAAAAGGCCACCTGAATAATTGAGGCGAAGGGTGAATTATCTTGAGCAATACTAGCATGCACAGTCTGAGGTAAAATGCCATTTTCCATGAACGATGCCAAAAGTATGTGGAACACATGACAACAAAAAGCTCAGAGAACTCAATAATATATGGGAATGTCATGTTGTTATGGAAATTGACATCTGGTTGCGTGTTAGGCGGATGGATTTACATCACCAGTATCACTCAATATGGAAAAGTAAATCGATACGTAATTGCTGTGTAATTGCATATGCCAGAGGCAGTAAATCACAGGAGATAGCAACATTTTGTACATAAATTCGATTGGGACGTATCAGCTACTAAACGAGTAAACCTTGCACAAATGTACACTATCCTCCTTCCACGTTACACTGAACAAATGCTAGCAGAGAAACTAAATATAACACAAGAAGAGCACTGAGCAGAATACATCTCAACAGCATTAGCGTGAAGCTAAGAGCCTCTTTAAGTTTCACAAATGTATGGACATTTACACAAAGAACATGACATATTAATAAATATGGCTGCATTATGTAAAAAACTAAGACTGAAAGCAACTTCAAAAAGCGCCAAGCAGTGATTAAGTGAAGAATCCTGATGTTTACTTCACTAATGACTCATGCTAGCTAACTCTTACCATTACAAGAATAGACTAGATAAGAACAAAGAGTAAGAAAAATCAATGGAGACAGCTGAGGCATGATGCTGCTTAATGAAGCCTGACGTCTGTTTCCTCTGTTTTCATGGTAAAAATGAAAAATTACAGATTTGTTTGGCAGCTGGTTGAACAATTTCCATGACATGGGTGGTTAATGTAAAACATAATGAGATGTGTTATAAAATGCCATTTCAGATTACAGCCTCCTTTGTTTCTCAAGGATATGAGCTAGAGATGTGCATTTGGGTCATTTTGACTGCTCGAGTCCTCCGGGTGAGGTTGGTGGCTAGCTGGTTATGTTCATATGTATCAAGACTGATGTCTCCGGCCACTGCTTCAAGGATTAGTTCACTTCCATAATAAGAAATGCCTGGTTATTTAATAATTCCAATGTCATCCAAGATGTTCATGTCTTTCTTTCCTCAGTCGAAAAGAAATTAAAGTTTTTGAGGAAAACATTTCAGAATTTTTCTCCATGTAGTGGACTTCAACCAAAGTCCCTTTAAGGCAAGTCATGTCACTCGGCGGCCATCTTTGAAACGCCTCTTGGGCATGCAAGTGCAGCTCATATCTCTTTGAATAGGGAAACATCAAATTCTCCAAAACTGTTCACCAAGCTTATTATTAAATTTCATATTTGAAATCACCAATGATATCTGACAGCAACTGTCTTATAAAAGTTGTTTATTCTGCTCAAATGGCATTAAAAAAAGCTTATTTTTTGGGCTAGACCAGCCAGTGCGCATGCAAAGTCCTAAACGCATGTCTCTTAATGCTGACTGTTTCTATAGCAACCAGGACTTCTAACGGCAGCTGCAGTGATGCGCTGACTTTACTGATTAGCGATTGGCTCTTTTGCTTAGAAGGCAGGGCTTCGTTCGATAGAGTGGCCATATTGAGCGTTGCATTTTTCCCCATTCAAAACTATACGAGTGACACGTCTTGGGTATTCTATAGTCTTTGACTTCAACAGGGACCAATGGGTTGAAGGCCCAAATTGCAGTTTCAATGCAGCTTCAGAGGGCTCTAAACAATCCCAGCCAAGAAATAAGGGTCTTATCTAAAGAAACGATCTGTCATTTTCTAAAAAATAAAAAAAATGTATATACTTTTTTTAACCACAAATGCTTGTCTTGCACTAGCTCGACTTCACTCATTACATAGTCACGTTGGGAAGATCACACGAGACATAGGCGGAAGTACTGACTTTACAAAGCGAACGTGCAAAGACTAAATCAAACGCCCTTTACAGAAAAAAGGTAAAACAACGATATCGGATGATTTTGAAGCTAGAGGAGAAAATCAGATGGAGTTCAATACTACTTCTGCCTACATCACCGTTGGTTCCTGTTGAAGTCCACTATATGGAAAAAAACCTGGAATGTTTTCCTCTAAAACCTTAATTGATTTTAGACTGAAGAAAGAAAGACATGAACATCTTGGATGACATGGATGTGAGTAAATTATCAGGAAATTTTTATTCGGGATGTGAACTAATCCTTTCATGTCTTTCACCACAAACAATGTATTTTTAAGTGTGTATTTTAAAGTTAAAAATACTTTTAAAAACTGCGTTTACATCATTTCATCTATTAATTTTTTTAACACATTTGAGCACTGTTGTGGTTTCAGTGACTGTGTACAGTGTCTTTCCCAACCACGAAGTACAACTTAAACGCCCCTTAAATAACCAAGTTCACCCAAAAATGAAAAACATTTTGTTCCAACCAACATCCAAAGATGATTTTTTGAAGAATGTTGGTAACCAAACAGTTTTAGTGACCAAAAAATATCTTCTTTTCAATATTCACTTTTTCAAATGTCATACAGGTTTGGAATGACACGAGGGAGAATATATAAACTATCCCATTAGACCCACACCATCAGTCTCGGGTACACCCAGATGTCCATCTAAATGTTTTTACCACTGCAGAACATTTGTAGTATCTTCATGTAATATACATAAACCATGAATTTTAATATACGAAGTACGATTGATGACAGGAACCATAACATTTCCATTTATGAGACCTTACCTTGCATCTGGTCGATGTGGCCCAGGGTTTCTATCTGCTCAACGAGATCATTAGAGTTCCACTGACTCATGCCCAAAAGCATGGCTGTCTTCCCCTCCAGCACCTCTGAAAGAAATCACACACAAACACACATTCAATGAAAGCAGCATATGATGAGGATGAGACAATCAATCATTTAGCCCATCGGCAGGATAATGCTATGCTCATTTCAGCTGGAATGCAGCAGTACATCAAAGACTATTAATATTCATCGAATTATCTTTAAATACAGCTAGAGCCATAAAGTGATGTCCGTCTAATGAGCACAGAGCGAGCGATCAACCACTCCGCCGGTACTTGTGAGACAGCCCCTGAGTGCTTGATGGAGGACTCAGCTGTGCGGTTCACAGCGTGTGACAGCAAACTGCAAGCCCAATGCCATGTCGGATCTCGCTGGGATGATATTTCAGTGTGGAAGAGAGGTTGTGACAGGGCTCTGTCAGGACTGCTCGTCTGCACCACCCGCTTGAGCCCATCGGCCGCTGTTTGTTGCATGCTATTCGCTAGACTGTCAACTGAATTGGTTTTTAAGTTGGCTCAAACAAGAGTATACAAACATACACATGCACGCTCACAGAAACAATGTGAGGGAAGCTCGGAGTTGAGAGATGAAGGGTTTTAAATCATAATCCAAATACTGGCAGTTACTGAGTCGTGTGGAATGGAACGACGCTTAGAGAGAGCAGGAAGAACATAGATCTTCTGAAGTGTGAAATGTGCTTAGCACAAAGAAGAGCAACGACAGCAGCCCGGCTCCTGAAGGATTAAACAACCACCTATTTCAGTAAATAAAATATAAACTGCTAATGCACAAGGGTCTGCCACAAGGCTCACTGAGAAAGGAAGACAGCAAAAAGTGGGAGTTAAAAGGAGAAAAAGAACAATGTACTGTAAAAATGTGGGAATGTGCTTTCAGAAGAAAGTGGATGAGCTTTGCAGAAGATTTCATTTTAAAGTATTCAGTGTAATCTGCACAATTATGAAAAAAGTTCATGTTATGTACATTAAATTATTGGATACTAGTTACTATGGAAGTTAGGGATGTGCAAAACTACTGACTTTTATGGTTTTTATAAAAAGACGTAACAAAATGCATTTTTAGGGTTGTCAAAGTAAACATAAAAACATTTATTTATTTAGAAAACCACCTTAGACTTGAATCACATTTGAAAATATTTTTCTTCATATTTATATCTCTAACATTAAAACAGGGCAGAAAAGGATCAAGATAAACAGTTAAAATAATTAAAAAAGTTTATATTTATAATAAAATATAATAATTACATTACATTTCAAATACAATTGCAATAAAATAAATAAATATTACCAATAAAAAATTACTTGCTTTAGCTTCAGTACAGTAAAAATATAGGAGTCAAAAAGTATTAACTTGAAACATCACCTTAAAACACAATGCAACTCATGATGCGAAACATGGTGAAAAATGACAGCCAAATCTGAATTTGTACACAGATCAACAATTTAAAAATATAACAGAACAATGTGCAACACTTCAATAGACTAACAGACAGAGATATTCAGCAAATAAATTCTCTTTTATTATACAAAACTATCATAGAGCTAAAAAAACAGCCGAATTGTGTAACAACTGGAACGCTGCTCACAGCAGGAGATCTGAAGTCTGACCATAATTGCCCTGAAATGTATTGTTGAAGGCGGAGTGTTTGTTAAACAAGCCGTGCTTGATGCCTGTAGCAGCAGTGCTTTAAAGAGAATGAATTTAGGGAATGAAGAAACTTCTCAGATAATTTTTGCTGACAGTCTAACAGTACGTGCAAAACACTGCCAGCAAGATAAATCACTTTCTGAGAAGTTCTCTCTTGATTTACCCCTTTAAAAGCACATTTATAAAATACTAAAACAAAAGTTTTACTATTTTAATTAACATCCTGACCTATCCCTAATGAAGGTGTATAAAACAATCCCTGAGTAACTCAAAAATTGTTTCACAAAAAAAGTGCATGAAACAGTGACTGAAAGGAGAAAAAGAAGAAAGACAAGCAAAGTGCATTAAGGTGGGGAAACATTTTGATTGGAGGTTATTAAAAGAGATTTTAAAAAAGGAATCTGAAACTAAATTTCACGAATTCTAGAAAGACCTGATGAGGTAATGAGTTCATGGAGGCCCAGAGCTTATCCATTAACATTCTTCAACTCTTCTTTTACTTTTAAATACAGACAAAGATAGGCGTCAAAGGACATGTCCGTGTAGGCTGAAAGATGGGCAAATACTGGTGGATTTCAGCTGATCCTATTTCCAATTCTCTCCTACAAACATCTTCAGTATATGAACCAAATTTGCAACACAAGCCTGTCGTGAGTCTATATTTTCCTTGTAAATTACATTTATGTGTACTTTCAAAGCAAGATCATGCTATTTCAAACCCATATGACTTATCTTTTTTCAGTGGAACACAACAGGAAATGTTAGGCAAAATGACAGCCTCCGTCACCATTCACATTCATCGTATGGAAATAAAATGCAAACCTATAGTCAGCTTCATTAAAAGTAGTAAAACAAGGAGCATTTTTCCATGACCAGAATATGACCGTAGATGCCTGTGGCTGTCTAGAGGCAAAGAACATAAGACAGCGTTGTCTGTCTGACACAGTTTCAGGAAAACAGGCTTTTCCTGGAAAATCTTCCAAATGAAGGCCCATATTTGGTTATGAAAATCACACGTCTTGACCTTCTTCCTAACACTGGGGTTTAAAACTCCAACTCAAATACTAAGAAGAAAATGTATTTTTCTTATGCGATTGGCTGTGACAGTTTTGTAACTTGGACACGTATGCCACAATTTAACATTTAATAAACCAAAGTTGCATATGAATTCAAATAAAAGACAAGCTGTCAACTCTCAGATGGCTAATGATATTCACAAAATCAATACTGGTGCTAAGATGCTGCTGTTTTCAATTAACAGGGTCTTTATATTAAAATGTAAGGTAACATGATTTTCAGATATGCTTTATAATCTGACAGAGGTTATAAATAGTCAATTTCTTAGTTGATTTGTCAGTGCAGATGAATCTTGTGTACAAAGGGCCCAGGGCTACCCGACTACAGAAAGCAATCAATGCAACAGAAAAACACTTCAGCTCAAAATGCAAAGCCTGTGCAGGTAATGCTAATCAATTAGCATTAAGAGTCACAATGAATGACTGCGAATGCATACAGCAATCTGTCTCCAGCTGAAATTTACACCATTTTAAATGAGGGTCCAATCTTATTCCAGGGTGTATAAATGGGCTCTGTTTAAGCACACTCTGACAAATCTCATTACTCAAATGCGCACGCTCCAATAACAAACAGACCTTAGACATTTGCCAACATGTCAGTTAAAAACGATTCTGAACGCACTCATTCATAATCAAAACAGCTTTGTCCTTAAACACCCCATGGCAACACTTTTCCAGCACAGTGTTGAAGTATTTCCTATTAAAAGTTGGTTGGGACAAATTGATGAAAAAAAAAATTTCAGCATCCATTTGCATTTTCAAGTTTTACTTGCATTTGGCGCTTAGGCCCTGGTCACACGTCTCAGGTTACATTCTACAGAGAGACACTCCATGATGCGACTTGAAGGAGATCAACCCAGCGGATATGAGAGGCATGAACAGGGCAAGTGAGAGTCTGACACGCGTGAAAGGGGCTCATGTGTCACGGAGGTGAAGGCAGGCTGACAAAGCTGGAACCGTGATGAGCCTCAATTTCCCTGCCGCTCGGCGCTCTGATCATCTGTAGCGCACACTGACTGACAGGGGTCAATCTCACAGGTCAGTGAAGAGGAGTCAACAACAGCCAGTCGCAGAGAGTATCCACACCGATATCCACACACAACTTCTGTGATTTCACAAACACACCTTTGCAGTGTCGCTCACACAAAAAGCCATTAAGTTTGCACTCCAAGCATGAGCCAAAACACTTGACTGTGCCTCTCCTGACAAAAGTGATTGCTAAACAAACCCTCAGCCACTAGAAAACAACATTTAAGTGTGTACAACATTTCTTTTGTCATTTCTGAAAGAGTTCTCACAGGTCACAACAAATGACACTCAGTGGAGCCAATTATCTACAATGCTTTGAAGCATGACAAATTTAATTCTTTAGAAAACTACATTTACTAGAAGTAGAAATAATCTCAATTTCAGTAGGACTATACAACCTTTTATTTATTTTTTTTAATTTTTTTTACAATAATTCCTATCTCGTATGACTACACTACCTTTCAAATGTTTGGGTTCAGTAATATGTGTTTGAAAGGAGTCTCTCATGCTCACCAAGGCTGCATTTATTTGATTTATAAACAAAAAAAAATACAGTAATATTGTGAAATATTACAATTTAAAATAACCATTTCTTCAGTGTTACATGATCTTTCAGAAGTTATTAGAATATGCTGATTTGGTGCTCATGAAATATTTCTTATTATTATCAAAGTTAAAAAAAAGTTGCTAAATGATTTTCTTTAAACTGACTTTATTATATAAGAAAAGCTTTTTTTTAAATAAAAACCTTTGGTAACATTTAAATGTATTTACTTCCACTTAGTTTAGGTCCATTTAATGTGTCCTTACAGAATAAAAGTATTAGTTTATTTAAAAAAAAACACTGACCCTAACCTTTTGAATGGTAGAATATTTCAAAACTACAATTCAAACTAACTCATTGATCACAGCAGGAGAAAGCAAATATAATCACCTTTATTTATAACTATATTGAAATAAAATTTGGCAGTCACTGTCATAGTCATTAATAAACAACTTAGTGTTGGTCCCTCTGTGCCTGCAGCCTTGGTCATCCTCTCAGCATATTCCCTATAATTCACTGTGACAGTATAATACATTTCTTCAAAGTGCCTTTAAGGCAAGTCCTTTCAGTCAGTGGTCATCTTGGTAATGCACTTGGGCAGTTATTTTCTATGTGGGCAATAGTGTCACCATACTGTTCTAGAGTAAACAAACCCTCCCATTATTATCATTCAAGAATAATGCTAATACAAAACATTTATTTTGACAGCTGCTATATTAAGCGTCA